GTGGTGATGGGTTGTAATTAGTATTTGGGTGGTGAACATGATGTAATCTATGCAGAAATAGAAGTATAATGATGTACACCTGAAATTTATACGTTATAAACCAATGTTACTGCAATAAACAAAAAATTAGGGGAAAAAAAAAGATATCGGACTAAGGGGGGGATCTATTTTAGGGTAGTCATAGTCCCTATTTTCAGATTACTATGACTATTATGTCTTTTATTATTAATTCAGAAGTCATTGATGACTTGTCTATTCAAGTTGAACTAATGATATGACACACAAACCGTCAGAAAAAATGCCAGTTAATTACTTTGAATACAAATATTTTTTCCAAAATCACTTATATGTCTAAATTGACTTTTTCCACAAATCAATAAAAAAAGATTAACAATGGAAAAACGGGCAAAGAACAGACAATTCAGAGAAGAAATACAAATGTTCAGTAAACATATAAAGATATTTAAATTCACAAGTAATCAGAAAAATTCAAATTCAGATGGGATCCCTTTTTTTTTTTGAGGAAGATTGGCCCTATGCTAACATCTGTTGCCAGTCTTCCTCTTTTTTCTTTTTTCTCCCCAAAGCCCCAGTACATAGTCGTGTATCATAGTCGTAGAGTTGTAGCTCTTCTATGTGGGATGCCGCCTCAGCATGGCTTGATGAGCGGTGAGTGGGTCCGCACCCAGGATCTGAATCAGCGAACCCCAGGCCGCCAAAGCAGAATGCGCAAACTTAACCACTACGCCACCGGGCCAGCCCCTGGGATCCTTTTTTATTCACCCATCAGATCAGCCAAAAAATGGGGAATATTCAGTGGTGAAAGGGTGTGGGAAAATGAATGCTGTCCTGGCCAGTTAACTGGAGTGTAACTTGACAAAACTTTTTTGAGGGCAATTAAAATTTTATATCTACAAAGTCTTCACCCCAACGATTCCATTTCTAGATATCTATTCTACAGAAATATCTGCCCGTGTTCACAAAGACGCATGTACAAGGATGCTCATTGCAGCAATGCATGTAACAAGAAAACTGGACATAATCTAAACATCCATCAATAGGGGAATTATTAAACTGTGATACATCCATACTATGGAATATTACGCAGGAGTTTAAATGAATGGGGTAACCCTCTATGTGCTGGGAAGGAAAGAAATCTAAGACATATCATGAAGCGAAAGAATCAAGTTGTAGGATGTTACCGTTTATGTAAAAAAAGATAAGAAAACCACACAACAAACTTGTTTTGCTCTCTGTAAATATGTATGTAGGCAAATGTATGGAAAAAGATCTGGAAGGATATATACTAAACCCAAGAGTAACCGTTACCTCAGGGGTTGGGGATTAGGGCACAAGGAGGGTTTTCACTGTACCTGTTATTTCATTTTTATATAATGAGAATATAATCATATATTACTTGTATAATGGAAAATAAGTTTAAATTAACTCTTACTTATTTTAAAGAGGGCCTGCCAAATTTAATTCTTAAAATAAACATAGAATTGCAATCAATAGAAGTTGACTTGGGATATGGAGGGGGAAATACATTTTCTCAGAGCTGTTGACGTCAAAATTCTGGACCAAGAAGGATTTACAGTGCAGTTAGTTTTTTGTATTCATAATTGGAGAGATTATACTCACAGTTTCTCAGCCCACCGGTATGCACGCCATACATTTTCATCAATGTAAGAAATAGAGTTTCCTTGGAAATTTCTGTGAAGAAACAGTTCATATCCTTGATTAGGTTGGAAAAGAATGAACAGAATAAGTAAAAGAATCATAACAACCTTGTGGGGAACATTCAAATGCAGAAAATATCAGCTTTCTAATTTCCACAGCTATCAGCTTCCCAGTTTGTACAACTAATAAAGACATAATGTGGGGCCGCTGGCACAAACAACGAGGCATCTCCTTGGAACCTGAACTTCCTATCTGTCTTACTTTGAATATAAGTACTTTTTCCAAAATCACTTACAGTTCTAAAATGACTCCTTCAACAAATCAATGAGAAATGATAAACAATTCAATAGAAAAATGGCAAAAATTTATCATTATCAGCAAATAAATACAAAGAAACCCTATGCCAGGCAATACCAAAGCTTTGGTTTAGTGCCTTCTGTTGAAATCTCTCCAAGTGTTAGAAGGATAAGGGCAATTTGAAATTAGAGGGACTAATATGGAAGATCTCTTAGACATGTTGCATAGGGAAAAGCACAAACCACTGAGCCAGGAGTAAAGTATTACCTCATCCGGGGAAAAAATGCAAAAGAAAGAGATTGGAAGGAAGGACACACACTAAAATGGTAACAGGAATTATCTTATGGATGGTAGGGAGGGTGGTGTGGGATTTTCACATTTTATCCTATATATTTCTGTGACTTTTTTTTTTTTTTGAACAGTGAGAATGTATCCACGAATTACATGTGTTTAAAAGAAGCTGTCAAATGCCTGAGGTTCAGTTTCAACCACCAACTTGGTGGATGACCTGGAATCTTTACCTTTAGCTTTGTCCTCTTCCCTCAGCAACAACTTACCTATTCAGTTTATATACATTTTCAGGTGATCAGAAATAAGTCAAAACAGATACCTGTGTGTCCATCTGCCTAGTGGACATTTCCACTCAACCAGAAGCCTTCTGGTTGCCTTATGCTCAACAATAAAAATGCCTAAAACTGAATTCATCTCCCTCAACTGTTGGGAAGGGCACTCCTTCCCAACTGCTGTACTTCCACCTGTTGTACCACCATCATTCTCATCAACCAGGACAGAAACTTGAGAGTCATATCTGATTATTCTCTTTCCTGTACACCCCACCCCCCAACGCCAGTCACTTACTAAGACTTGTTGGTTCTTCCTTTGTAGTGTTCTCAGGATTTTCTTTCTACTCCTATCACAACCACTAAGATTTTTCTAAAGCATTCTCTTTGGTCTCCCTGAATCAAGCTTTCCTCTCTAGATTGCTCTACATATGGAGTCTAAAATAATCCTCTTGTTTTAATCATTTGTCTCTGTTGCTTGAAAATTTTCAATGGCTCTCTATATCTCATAGTGTAACTTTCAAACCCCTGTAATTGATAGTCAAGGTTTTTTATAATCATGTCTTTCATTGCTTCCTAACCCAATTCTTTATAGCCATGCTGGTCTATTAAATCCTGATCATTCCTGCAGCCATGCCTTTCCCTAGACTGTACACCCTATTTTTTCTCTATTTAACAAGTCATAGCACTCTTTAAATCCTGGCTAAAGTTTTAGTTTATCCATGCAGCTTTTCCTGACCTCCATACCCCAGTGATTACAGATTCTGATGAATTATATCACCCCTGGTCTGTATGTTTTAGTACTTAATTATATATCATCTCCCTTTTTATGCATATCCCCCTTCTTCCCACCTATCATTGTCATGTTCTGGAGACAACGTCATACTTCCGTGGCTCCTACAGCACTTATCCCTGGGTCGGGCACAAAATGGGTGCTATATATATAGAAAGCCAGGGGACAAAGATGAGTTCTGGACATAAATGAGGAATCTGATAATAGTAATAGCTAACACACATATATATATGCTAGGCATATAAGTGCTTTACATGTATTAACTCATCTAAACCTCACAACAATCGTATAAGATGGTAAATATCATAAACCTCCTTTTACAGATGAGGAAATTGAGTCCCAAAGCTGATAAATGACAGACCTGGGTTCAAACCCAGGCAGTGTGGTTCCAAAATCTCTACTCTTAACCACTTTGTTGTATTACTACCAATGAGATGGGGAGAGGGACATGTTGCTGTAAGGAGGATGGAGCAAAAGTAGGAGGAGAGTAGAGGTTAAGGAATGAAATAATGGGGCTTATAAAATGGATAAGGAAAAAGTATAAACACGATCACAAGTAAACGATTGGAGAAGGGGGAATAATAGTAAGAAGGAGAATGAAGGAATAGTTGACAAACAAAAGGTAAAAACACAAAGTCAGTCAATGTGGGTTGGGGAGGTAAGGAAGGCCCAGGAAGACCTCAAGGGAAAGGCTGCCCAGTCAGGCAGGATGCAGAGAAGAAATGAAGAAAGGCAGTTCTTACAAGATGGTGAAGGTGCCGTTGTAGGGCTCTGGCACAGGCACTGTGCGGAGCCTTTCCTTTGGCCTGAGACCAACACACGACAGCGCCTCATCTTTACAGGTACAGAGCTCACAGATCTTGATGGTTTTGGTGGCATTCTGTTCTGGTTGCTCAGTTGGGTGTGCCTCTTCTATAGTATAGTCTGTAGAATGCTGAGTTGTTGGAGGTAAAAGAATTGTCTCAGATGACCCTGGTTGCTGAGTTATGGTAACTTTCCCGTCCGTAGGTGGAACTGTGACTCCAGTCAAGTTCGGATGCTGATCCTGAGCCTGCTCTTGCTGTGGAATTGTCACCTCAGGGTGATCTGGAGGAGCTGTAGTCTGCTGCAGGGCTGTAGAATGTTCAACCTCTGCCGTAGATTCTGGAGTTATAGTAGGCCCCACGTCCAAAGGTTGAACTGTGCCTTCAGTCAGGTTTGGATGCTGATCCTGAGCCTGCTCTGGCCGTGCAAGTGTCACCTCAGGGTGATCTGGAGGAGCTGTAGTCTGCTGCAGGGCTGTAGAATGTTCAACCTCTGTCATAGGTTCTGGAGTTATAGTAGGCCCCACGTCCAAAGGTTGAACTGTGCCTTCAGTCAGGTTTGGATGCTGATCCTGAACCTGCTCTGGCTGTGGAAGTGTCACCTCAGGGTGATCTGGAGGAGCTGTAGTCTGCTGCAGGGCTGTAGAATGTTCAACCTCTGTCGTAGGTTCTGGAGTTATAGTAGGCCCCACATCCAAATGTTGAACTGTGCCTTCAGTCAGGTTTGGATGCTGATCCTGAACCTGCTCTGGATGTGGAAGTGTTACCTCAGGGTGATCTGGAGGAGCTGTAGTCTGCTGCACCGCTGTAGAATGTTCGGCCTCCACGGTAGGTTCTGAAGTTATGGTAAGCTCTAGGTCAACAGGTTTAACAGTGACATTGGGCAAATTTGAATTATGAGCTTGGTCCTGTTCTTGAGGTGGAACTGTCATCTCATTATGGACTGGAGGTTGTGCTACGATCTCCGTAGGTGGCTCTGGAGGCTGAGGTGGGGCCTCCTGTTGGACTAAAGAAGGTTCCACCTCCTTAGGGGGATCTGGACTCTGAGCTATGGCCTCTTGTTGGCCTAGAGAAGATTCAACCTTCTCAGGGGACTCTGGAGACTGGGAAAGGGGCTTAGACTGCGCTGGAGAAAATTCAACCTGCTCAGGGAGAACTGGAGACTGAGTAGGGGCCTCCTGTTGCACTGGAGAATGTTCAACCTCCCTAGTGGGCTCTGGAGTTATGACAACCTCCAGATCCACAGGTTTAACTGTGATATTAGGCAACATTGGATGCTGAGCTTCACCCAGACCTAGAGATGAGAATGTTACCTCAGGATGTACTGAAGGTTGAGCAAGAACATTTGTAGAGGACTCTGGAGGCTGAGCTGGATGCTCATGCTGGACTGGAGGTCTGACCCCCTCAGTGGGCTTTGGATGCTGAGCTGGGGTCTCCTGCTGTGTTGGAGGTTTCTCATGAGGCAGAGTTGGGACCTCATGCTGGATTACAGAAGGTTCCACATTATTAAGGGGTACCTCATGCTGAACTGGAGAAGGTCCCATCTCTGTAGTGGGTTCTCCTGTTATGGTAAGCTGCACATCTGCAGGTTTGACAGTGACATTGGGAAAGAGTAAATGGTGAGCATGATGGTGACCTGGAGGTGAAACTGACAACTCATGATGCTCTGGAGGCTGAGCTGGGTGTTCCTGCTGGGCTGGAGAAGGTT